GTCCATGGAAAAGTGAGCAGAGGACTGGGGCTCACCTTCAGAAGCAAACGACAGGAAGGGCAGCTAAGAGCTTCTTTTGGGGACAGGGAACCCAGAACGCAGCATGGGCCCCACATCACTGGCAGATGTGAAAGCAGCGCCTGTAGGAGCCCTTTCGCTCCAGCACCCAGTCTAATCTCACTTTTCAGTCCTCGTCATTCTTAACCTTTATGTAGCTGGCCAGTTGGAGCACGAAACTGCTCTGAGAAGAAATCATTTTCTCCATCACTGATCATCCCCAAGTGGAAGCTCTGGGGAGAAATTCCAAGGTGGAGAAACAAGCAAGGAGACCGTATTAAAGAGTGCAAAGAGGTAAGCTAGCGTCTCGAGCACTTTGTCAGATCCCAGGACAGTTTGGCATTAACTGGGAGTTGAGAGAAGCCTTTTGGACATGGCGGCGCTACTGGTCTAAAGGAGCTACAGTCATGAGAGGGAGAGCATTGCTGGGAGGGGCACAGGCAGCAACTTCACAGAAGGAAGGCGGAAGAATACTGACTATACAATGACTCTTCATCACCCAGGACCCGGGCTTCTCCTTTTACCTGACTCAGGCAGACCCCGAGGCGGAGGACATGGTTTCAAGGTGATAATTTATGCCACAGAAATGGAATGTTGACAGAAGGGGGGAGCCCACAGACATGGGCAGGAGATGGAGTGAAGGGTTTCAAAACCTCCATCCTGAAAAGTACCAGGTTGATGACACTGCTAGCCAACCAAGGCTTAGAACTAGGAGGTCTCTCAGGGTCTCTCTCACCTGGCTGGCTCTAGATTCCTTCCCCTTGGCAAACAAAGCAAACTCCTTACCAACTTCAAAATACCAGCTGACTATTCAGCATCTCTTCCCCTTTGATGGGCAGACAAAACCAAGAGAAATGAAGATCTTTATTGCCGTGGGGGCACATTCCAAATCCTTCCTAATTCCTTAACTCTATTCTGTCCTCCAGATGCTCTTCCTCCTGAGACCTTCGTCGCTCCAAAGCAAAGCTCCTATACCACCCACACTGCTGCTGCCTGCAATGTGCAGGGGAATTCCATGCAAACAGGCCCTCTTCCGTGCTGCCTCATTTAGTCACAGGTACTGGTGCATCGTGCTCTTCCTTGCCCGGGTTGTGCCTTCTAAGCTCAGTTTCTGCAGACAAAAGCAACTGACGACACCATAGACGGGGCAAAACTAGACAAGTTCGAAATAAAAACGTAGGGACTGGAGGGATGACTCAGCCAGTAAAGCGCTAGCCATGCCAGCACGAGAACCCGAGTCGACTCCAGCGTCCATGTGAAAGAGCTGGGTACAGGGCACATCTGTGAGCCCAGCCTTGAATCAGCATAGGAAGGAGGACCCCTTGGGCTGGCTAGCCATTCCGGCCAAACCTGGGACCACCAAGTTCAAAGATAGACCTGTCTCAAAAGTATGATAGAGAGTGACAGAAGACACCAGATGTCAACCTCTGGTCTGTACATGCAAATGTGCAAGTGAGCATGCATGTGCATGTGCAAGCACACACACACACACACACACTTTGGAAAATTACCTTAAGATGTGTTACATTTGTTTATGCTGTGGAATTTCTGTTTAATGATGCTAAATGTGTTGCTTTTTTATGTTGCATTATGTTGCTGTGTTACTTTACCTACCTAAAATACCTGATTGTCTAATAAAGAGCTGAACAGCTAAAAGCTAGGCAGGAGAGAAAAGTCAGCAGGACTGCCAGGCAGAGAGAATAAATAGAAGGAGAAATATAGGGAAGAGGGAGGAGTAAGAAAAGAAGAGGAGGAGGCCAGGGGCCAGCCACCCAGCCAGCTATGAGGTAAGAAGGAAAGAAAGATAAATTGAATAAAGAAAGGTTTCTTTAAAAAAAAAAAAAAACCCACTGGCAAAATGTAGTTAAAGAGAAACCAGATAATTTAAGTTAGAAAAGCTGGCTAGAAACAACCCAAGCTAAAGTCAGGGCATTAATAGGTAAGAATATGTCTCCGTGTATTTGGGAGTGGGTGGTGGGCCCCCAAAGATTAAAAAAATAAATAAAAACAACTATACACAAACACACAAAGAAAAAAGTTAAAGCAATTAGTTTTGAGACTTGTTAGTTCATTAACATTCTTTAAGACAAATACCCTTTATTTCCAAAGACAATTCAAATCCATCACTATCCTTTAAAAAGGATGAACCAACCTAAGACTCGCCTGAATTTTGACCGTGGTTTTCCCCAGGTCCTGCACTTCTAGCATGGATAGCAAGGGAGGAAAAGCAGACACTCAGATTCCTGGCCATTGTTCTCATGACACTTAGCCTACCTTTAAGGACGTCTCAGTTCCCTCAGTGCTCACAGCTACAGCTCTAATGCCGCTGTTTATAAAGCACTTGCTCGCTTGACACTTACTGTGGGAGCAAGCCCCATAGTGAGTTATGGCATTATCGGTCCCACCACGGCCGAAAGAGCTACCACTAACCACGTACTGCACAAAGTACAGTGGCTGTGACCCCAGTCCTCTTGGTAGGGAGGGGCTAGCACACTTACTATCACTACTTTATAAACGGGAATGCGCAGCCCAGAAAGGTAACTTCACAGATCACCCAGTTGGGAATTGACAGGGCTATGATTTCAGGGGCCACAGCTTTACAAACATATGATTTCAGAGAGACAAACTGCAAAAGAATGACCCACTGGAGAAGGCAGTAAAGATGGCCAAAACCCAGAGGCCTCTCTTAGCCATGGAACATATTATCCTGATCCCAATTTATCATCATTGCTACTGGGGACATTTTAATGTCAAATAAGAAAAACATCTAACTTTTGACACTTAGGGAATTAGTGGGGTTGAAGGTAGTTTTATCAGCATCAGACATTTTCCTCCACAGTAATTACATATGAATTCAGAGAGCATTTTCACAACAGCTCAGTGGCCCCATGTGAGAAGCAAGCTTGCAGTTACTCTTATCAGTTGTACCAAAAATGGATAAGAGCTTCTGCTCCATTTAGGGGAAAGATGGGCAGAGAAGGAAAGGGAGGGAGGGAAGAGAGAAGGAGGCAGAGAGAGTGGGGGATTAAGACTTACAAAAGAGTGAAAAATAATGAATGAATCCCAAAATAGGTTTTCAAATGTTGGGAATAAATCTTCCTGGTCCCACTTCACCCCATTTAGCGAAGGCACAGTCATCCCCAACCCCTCCTAGTCTACTGTGTCCTCAGCCAAACACTTAATCGGAGTGCTCCCTACCAAGCGTGAAAATAAATTTGATTTTGGTTTAGCCAGGATTAGATTCTGAGCACCAATAAATTAAAAATAACCTTTATCTAATCTAGCAGACCAGTCCCAGGCTTCCTGGCGACTCTCCACAGGCTCCTCTGGCTGAAGCTCTCTCCTAGAATTCCTCTCCAGCAACTGTGAAATCACAGTGTGAGGTGGGAAAACACAACTCTTCACATGGCCTGGTTGTAATTCTTAACTCTGTGTTTGCCTAACTCGGCTAGAGATGGTTTGTTCAAACACAACTGCCGAGTGTCCATCTGTGAAAGGTACTTTTGACCTCAAAATGAATCAAAACTCCCTCCCTCTCCCGAGGACCTTGGGGTCTCCTGGGCGTAGGTGACCAACATTTGCTTTATGTGGAAGTGATTCCCTTGTAAGCCTCGTTCTATATTCACGTTGGAAAACACTAAAGAAGGAGCACGGTACAAGGACCAACGCAGAAAAAACCAGACATGAACAAAAGCAGCTGATATCCAGAGTATATAAAGAATTCCTATCACCATCATCATCATCAGCACACATGCGCACACACACATACAACACACAGAGCCAAGAAGCTTGAAGGCAGACAGTAAGCCAGTGAACAACAGTCCACTTGCTAGTAAGCCCACCTCGCTAGTCCCCCCAAACAGAACACGCTGCTCTTCTGGAGTTCTCAAGCTGATAAGACCCAACAATCAGTCCTAGTAAAACCTGAGAGTGGATTACACTATGCCCCAAACTCCCCAAACTCAAGTTAGAGCTAAAGATAAATTCTAATCATTTTAATAGTGTGTGAGCTATGGAACTTTATAAATAGGCAAGATTCATTGAATAATCTCTCCTCTTAAAATGAAGATTACAGAATGTGCTCTTTACTGAGAAGACCCTTCAATACAGTTAAGGAAGAAAGGTGAGGCACAAGGGACAGAAATGCGAATATTTGCCACACAAAGGCAAAAATATTTCCACATTTCTGCCTCTTCTTTCAGCTAGCTAACTTCAGGCCTCAGTTTCCTCATCATGTTTGGGTGAGACTATGTACCAAAGATAAGCATCTACGGAACAGACGGAACAGACGCTCCCTTTTCTGGTTACGTGTTTACCAGGCATCTATCTCACTACCAAACAGCCAGGCAATTCCTGGTTGCAAACTCATTGACAAACTGCTCAAAAAAAAAAAAAAAAAAAAAAAAAAAAAGGCACCAGCATTCTGGTCTCCCTGAAGCTGCAAGTGGTACTGAAATCGGTAATAAAATGGGTGAGGCGGTGGGGGTGGGGAGCTGACTCTAAGGCGCTGAAGGAAATGCAGAGCCCAGTTTTCCTGGATCAGAATAGCTTCCATCAGAAGTGAACCATCAATCAAGGTACAGCAACTTTCAAATCCCTCTTGGCCAGTGTCCATGCCTCTTGGAACTTTCCTTTTAAGGGAAACATTTCTTGTAAGGGAAGAATGAATTCAAATATTCTCATCATATCCAAAACTAATTAGTTTTTACGGCACAATTATCTCTGTTATAGAAAATGGTACAATTTAAAAGTTTAGCAAAAGGATAAGCACTGGACATTGGACCATCTGCTGCCTTGTGCTGCCCTTGGGTTACAACCTCCCAGGTTCTAGTTCCAGCTTTTGGGCTTTTGTTGTTACTGCTAATACTTTCTCTTTCCCATATCTAACCCATGATGTCCACAGCACCAACAAAATACATATACAAGTGTGTGTGTGTGTGTGTGTGTGTGTGTGTGTGTGTGTGTATGATAAAAATAAATTCAGGCCAATGTTCAACAAGCTCCAGAAGGACCCATATTCTTTCCCAGGGTTTAGGAAGTCCTAGGTGATAAAATAGGAGCCAATTTTGTGGTTTCATCTCTTTTCATACTCCTTTGCTCCATGTGCTGTTTGTGACCTCAGCTCCTCCCATGCTCCTTTGCTCCATGTGCCATTTGTGACCTCAGCTCTTCCCATGCTCCTTTGCTCCATGTGCCATTTGTGACCTCAGCTCCTCCCATGCTCCTTTGCTCCATGTGCCATTTGTGACCTCAGCTCTTCCCATGCTCCTTTGCTCCATGTGCCATTTGTGACGTCAGCTCCTCCCATGCTCCTTTGCTCCATGTGCCATTTGTGACCTTAGCTCCTCCAATGCTCCTTTGCTCCATGAGCCATCTGTGACCTCAGCTCCTCCCATGCTCCTTTGCTCCATGTGCCATCTGTGACCTCAGCTCTTCCCATGCTCCTTTGCTCCATGTGCTGTTTGTGACCACAGCCCTTCCCATGCTCCTTTGCTCCATATGCCATCTGTGACGTCAGCTCTTCCCATGCTCCTTTGCTCCATGTGCTGTTTGTGACCTCAGCTCCTCCCATGCTCCTTTGTTCCATGTGCCATTTGTGACCTCAGCTCCTCCCATGCTCCTTTGCTCCATGTGCCATTTGTGACCTTAGCTCCTCCCATGCTCCTTTGCTCCATGAGCCATCTGTGACCTCAGCTCCTCCCATGCTCCTTTGCTTCATGTGCCACCATCTTGATGCCCCTTTAACCCACCAGACAGACTCTGGCTTCTGTCTGAAGGAGCTGTTCCCATTTTCTCCCTCTCAATCCCCAACTCCTTTAAGATCTTAGCTACTGACTCCCTGATCACGAGAATGCATCCCTCCCTCCCTCTTCCTCTGCGCTTGCACTGTCCTTCATAGAACACAGTACTGGACATACACTTACACATGTGCATTGTGTGGCTCCCATCAGAAGGTACGGTCCATTAGAACAAAGGCTCCATCAGTTGTGTTTGCTGTACCCCAGACCTAAGATATTTATTGACTAAATGAGTGGGGGAGAGATAGCAATCCACATTCATGAATTTCATCAAATATGTACCTTAACCAAAATAGAAAAGTAGTCAGGGCCATCTCACTTCTCACACTAAACTACCGGAAGTCAGCGCAGACAGGCAGCTTTGAAGTCTGCCAGTGTCCTGCCCCCTGCCCCATCAAATAGAAGCTGACAATCAAGTGATTAGTATCGCTTAGGATAGGCTGGTAATGATCCCAGGGTGTCCCTAAGGAGGCCGTCACACATGTGGGTTACATAGCCGTTCAGAACACAAATGAACAGAGACAGAACTAGCCTGGAGAGGCCACAAGGGGTTATGGATATGGAGGAGAACAAAGAGTCCAAGGAAACCAAGTATTTTGCAAACAGGTTCATAAAACTCATAGGAAGGCAATGACAAGCAATTACTCCCACTCTCCCCAGTCAACCAACCAGAGATACTCTTGCTTTCCTAATTGCGGAGCGCTCTCCTTCCATGCTGGCATTCTTCCCCCGTGGTAACTACTCCAGTACATTTCCTAAACACAGCTGAGGTTAACTGACACACACACTCACGCGGGCGCGTGCGCGCGCACACACACACACACACACACACACACACACACCCGTGAGGCTTCAATCAAGTTTCTATTTATCACGAGTCAGACACGAGAACTCTTGGGCTCTAGCCCATTTGTCTCACCATGCGTTCCAAACCCTCGTAAAATCTCATGACCAGGGCTCTGCCTCACAATACCTGCCAAGTCAAGTACTGAGTGTCTTTCCCCACACAAGCTTCAACCACCCTACGTTTACTGCAAAGTCAATGAGCCAATCCTACAGCTTTCTTTATGAATCTATAGTGGCTAATTTTGGAATTTTTTTTCCCTTAGGGGCTTTCTTTCTCCCGGTTTAACGTCTTTGCTGACTTAAGCACTATTTTGAAGGATTGGTATAGAAACCACCTTAGTCACTCATTATGATAATGCAAGCCTTCTAAAAAGACTCCTCTGTCTCCCGTAATAACTTTAGCGGTTGGAGTCAGCAAGAGAGAAAGGACATTCATATGAAAATCAGAAGTTCCGAGGGCTGCTCGGTATTTGCTGGGCTAATGGAGCTTGTTTGTGTAATGCAGGTAACTTTTCTTTAGAGAATGAAAGAGTACGGCTAGAAGTTTGATTCAACAGGGGACAGTTTAAGAAAATCACCATATATTTCTCTAACATAAATAACCTAGCTACAAAGTTTTGAGCCTTTTTGTATTTATTTATTCATTTACCTATTTTAGTCTTGTCCCGTTCTACTCTCTTCCCAGCAGAAACTCCTCTCCCGGAATGCAGGTAATACCTAACATATAATCCTGCTTTCAGGGATGTCTTCATCAGCACCTTCATTTTGCTGTGAATGCAGATTAGACCTCCCAGTTGCCTCCTCTCCTAAGAGGAAGCCTTCCTTGTGAACCTCCCTGGGGAAATCACCACTAGGCACCCAAGGCTTTATTGCTTAAGCATCCCCCATTATGACATTCTCTACTCCAGTTAGTCTGCCCACTCACCCTGGCATCTCAAATCCTGTACCAACATGAACTTCCTTAAGAAGAAAACAGTCTTGGGTAGGAGTTAAAAGCTTCAAGCCCACACTGAGCCCATAGTTCTTATATTCATTTTGTTCACTCTCCCTCTACCCCTCCCCCTCCCCTATCCCAAATCTAATCCCTGCCTAGCCAACCAGCTCTTACATCACACTTCTTCGCCTTTTCCTGTTACTGAGGCTTCCACCTGGTTCTAGCCACAGGCACTCGTCTTTGGCTCCGCCTGCTTCTCGTTTACTGGGTCTGACACAAGGCCCCAGTGTGACAATACACACTAACCACACAGAGCCTCAGCGTCCAACCTCAGCAACCTCTGCCCCACAGTGATTTGGCCAGGTATAATAGGAACCAGAGTTCTACTTGAAGGGACGGGATGAGTCCTAGTTCTGGAGACAGGAGAAGCTTTATCCCCCCCACCCCCATCCTGGTACCTCAAATTTCAAAGCATTAGTCCTCAGGTGCCCGACTGCACAGCCAGCAAGCCAAGGGCTGCAGTGCAGTCTCCCCTGCTGACCGAGGATCATTCCACTCTTATCAACTCATCTGCTTTCAGGACCTGGAAACTCAATGCCTGGAATTCTTCTGCCCCTGGAAGGCTGATGGCGGCAGCTAGGGCCCTTTATTCTAATCATATCCATTTCATTGTTATCAAAACACATATCTGAGCATTGCTCAGGGATTACAATACAAACCAAGTTAAACAGGTTTATTCAATAAAATGCTCCCTTCTAAGCACATGTGTTCAGAAGCTGAGGGCTGTAACCAAATAAAAGGAAGCAGGGTAGAATGTGGCCACTGTAGAGAAAGCCAGCCTGGGCGCCTGTAGAAGCTTACCTTTCCCAGGCTGCTCAGCCTTGGTAAGATGGTTTGTTATTGGGACTAGAAAGATGACTCAGCAGTTAAGAGCACCATTTACTCATCCAGAGGACCAGGGTTCAATTCCCGCAACCCATGTGGCAGCTCACAGCTGTCTATAACTCCAGTTCCAAGGGACCTGACACCCCCCCGACAGACTAGAGATCATGTGTATGTGACCAAGTGTTGAAAATAGAGGACACCTTTCAACGATCAGTAGTTAAGTCTCCCATGGCGACTTGAGGAACATGAACTCAGGTCATCGGGCTTTGAGTGGCAAGGACTTTTGTTCACTAAGCTATCTCACTAGCCTGATGTCTCACTTTTGGTATCTCATTTTCTGTATCCGTATTATGAGTATGACAATGTCTCTCACGGGCTTGTTTTTTGTTTGTTTGTTCATTTGTTTTTTTTTTCCTTAACAGTTAAGAATGTCAATTTTCCAGGCAGTGTTTTTAAAAAAAAAAAAAAATGCTAGTTACTCCAAGTCTCAGAAAGAAGAGCTAAAACGGAAAACTATTGCAATTGCTACAAGACATCAGGATTATGGGACCTGGGCCCAGACAGGCTATGTCATTTTGTGGCCTCTGGGGTGGATTAAATATGTTTCCTCTCTCTCCTCTCTAGGAGATGCGGGATCCATTTCTTTACTCCTTGGACTGTGGGCTGGCCACACAGCTATTCCAAACGACAAAAGTGACCCTATGCCAGTACCAGACCTACATGTTAAGAAATCTACCAGCAGATCTGGGGCTAACGGGCAGGGTGCTTTCTCAGCACACGCAAAACCCTGGGTTTTGATCCTCAGCACTACACAAATTAGGTATGGTTGCTCAAGCCTATAATTCCAACAGGTGTGCTCAAGAGGCTACAAAGCAAAATCAAGACCAGCCTGGGCTACACAAGAGCTTCTCTCAAACCACTCCTGCCATACACATCCCCCCCATACACACACAAAAAATTAACCTGCAAACTTGAACCCAATCCTGCCATGACATCATGCAACTGTGAGCAACAAACAGAGCGAGCTATATGGAAGAGAAGTGAGCTGCTCTGCCAGCTCAGGGACAAAAGCAGCCTCTCAGCCACGTGTGTTTAAGCCCCTAGCTCTGGTCAGACCATGAACAAGACTACTATACTTTGAAAGGTTTACTTTAATTTTATTCATATGTGTGTCTACAATTACATATCTGTACACGTGTGTGCGCGCCCACAGAGGTCAGAAGAGAGTATTCGGTACCCTAGAGCTGGAGGTTCTGGTAGTTATGAGCCACCTGACTTCCAGACACTCTGGCCCTTGTAAGAATACCAAGCACTCTTAACCACTGAACCAGCTTTCCACACCCATGATTGTCATCTTAAGTGCATAAATTTTGAGTGTGTTAGATAACTATTGACACGAAAAAGGGTGGGAAAACATCTCAAACTAAGCCTTTGATATCAGTTCCAGGAAGGAAAGCAGTAGGCATCCAGAAACTCAAACATCTGTAAGACACCTACCTATGTGCCAAACTCCACATCGTGTCTTGTTCTGTTGCTTATTGGCTAAGTCAGCACTAAGCAGTTTTTACAGTGCCATGTGATTCTTAAAAGACAGATACAAAACAGAGAGCATGGGGAAACAGGGCGATCTTTCAAGCTGCTTGCAATACTGATGCGATTAATCTGTGGCGAGGAATAAGCACAGCCATGAAATGGCTGTGCACACACACACAGGATCATCTATGCAAAGAACAACTTTCTTCCACAGATGCGTGCCTCTTAACTGGAGTGTCAATAAAGCCACAGGGGATGTCACGCAGCAAGTAAAGGAGGAAGGCCTGCAGCATTCATTGCCTCTGCTCTGCTTGGGAGTGGACAGAACTAATAAAAAAGACTTCAGAGAGACAGGCAGAAGACAGCATCGCTTGAGCAGTGGGCAATCTCTGCAGCGCAAGGAGGGAGGAGTTCTGCCCACTCAGTGTTCAAGTAACGCAAAAAGGGCAAAGAATAAAAGTTGATTGCCTCGGAAATTTCCTCAAGAAAATAACATTTCTTCATCTCCGGAGGTTTTAAGGATTACCAGGAAATGGAAAACTTTACAAATACATCCTGATGTTTCCACATAAATAGGTAGCTGTCTACCAGATGAGCAGCCCATGCAGACAGCTGTTAAGGATGAGTGAACTTGAGCATCATCTCGACACTGCTGCACCTCAAGGCACCCTCTTTCCGAGTGTCAAGCGGAGTGACTGGCTGTGAAGCCCAGTTCGCCCCCTGACTGGCCCCACGCGTTCTACAGAGAGAGATAAACTGCTGGTCAAAACTGAAGCCAACGAGGAAGACACCCAAGGTTTCCCTTGACGAGCATTGGCAGAATCTGACTTAATGCTATTGAAAGTGTGGCCTATTCCGTTTCTTGACCGGGAGGGGAGTGAGGCTGAACATGAATCGTTTAATTTCTCAAGGCATTTTTAATTTGGCTGATGATGAAATCCTTCTTTAACCTCATGTTAAAAAAAACAGTCTGCAGTCTTTGACAGGGACAGGGAACAGCTAAGAAAACAAATCAGAAGTTCATGCTTCTCAAATTTCCAGCCCTTTCTGTATTTATTCCTACTACTGCCTCGTCTGTTCAAACTTGATGCAAGCATTTTGGGGTGGAAATAAAAATACACTGGGATGTTCAGAGAAAGAGGCAATTTGTCCTCCGGTAATCAACTCACGGGGTCTTGAAATGCCATCATTCAAACTAAAGGGTTACAAAATAGACAAAAGGAACACATTGAGGAGTTTCCTGCTTTATCTTAGCTCTTACACCTGCAAAACAACCAATGGTTCACCACTGAGCCTCCTAGGTCTCCCTACCTCCTGGCCCTGGTAGCCATACTCCCACAGCTGTCTGTCTCTAGTGGCATCCACCAGTCCGTCCACTGGTCACCAAAGGAAAACTGCTCCCACGAGGGTCTTAGCAGGCTTCATGTAGAAACTGAAGTCACTCCCTCCGGTTCAGTGTCAACATTATTGTCAAAGAGTGCCTCCCGCGGCTAAGGCTAGAAGGCTCCTGTAGATGGGTTGAGCTCACAAGTCAATACCGTTAAAAGACCTCTTATTGATGATACTGGGACAATGGTGGGTCCTTTCAGGGCCCTTCCTGTCTCAGAAATGCCCAGTGAACAGCAGGCATTCCTCCCAGCACGTGACCCTTCTAGTGACCTCCAGACAGCTTCCAGGCTCCTGGGCAATAAGGAATACTAAAAGGGACCCTGGGTGTTTTATTAGCCAGGCTTCCAGGTGAAGAGGGGAACATCAACCACCAAGGGGGGGAAGGGATCGTCTGGCTGGTGGTTCATCAAAGGAAAAGCGGTGCACGTGTGCATGCATGTGTGCGTGCATGCACGTGCACACACACACTCACACATGAGAGAGAGAGAGAGAGAGAGAGAGAGAGAGAGAGAGAGAGAGAGAGAGAGAAATTCTATACCAAAGGTTGTGAGAAATACAACTGAGTATTTAGATCTGTGGATGTTATAGAAAGGATAGTGATATCAGAGCCGTTAATTCAGATCAATTGAACTGCCACTCAGGGTTCATAGACATGAACCATGCATGCCCCTCTTCTTGCGCTACCAAGTCTCTAAATAAATGCAAAAGTGAAAATAATCAATCTCCTCGCTTGGCTGGTGCAACTAACTATACAACCTTCAGGCAAACACAGATGGTAGCGAGAGGGGAGGACTGCATGGGAAGAGAACTAAACCATGGGATCCAGAACTGGTTCCAGAGAAAGGAAAAAACTGAATGGACACGTCTTGAGGACCAGAGCGGGAACTCTGTGGAGGAGAGTGTGTTGGCAGGGAACCTTGATGGTTTCCCTAGGGACAAGAACATGTCATGTGATCTAAAATATGATTTTTTTCCAGCCAATGCAAGACCACAAGGCAACCCTAATTCTTTCATTTCGTCACCAACTTTAACAAGGATTAACTAATGTAGCTAGGCCAAGAAGGGGCAGCTGCATTGCAGCTCCTGTGTGGCACAGGAGCTCTGTGCTCCTCTTGATATGCACCCCTTGGTGATGCTGCAGCTATTCAAATAAAACCACATCTCCAGTCTGCACCCCAGCCACCTGCGCTACTCCTGGCTCTTCTTCAGGTGATGGAAGTTAAAGGTGCTACCACGGAGAGAGGCTGAACAAAAGGGCCCTGTCACAAACTTTCCAGGAGATAACCGTTAGTGGGTTTCCATTATTAAATGGTCCTAGAATAGTAACCAAATGCTTCTCGGATGGCTTAGTTATGAAGCATGACTCTGGGTTTGAGTTCAGATCTTGCCCTGAATACAAAATTGGCAAAGCTCACCTAGTCTCTCACTTCCATATGAAAATGACCACCTCACTCAGCATCTCTCCAGCCTTGCACATCACTGGGTGGCGAGGGAGGGGTCAGCAGGGGGAGTTAAGATACAGCTCTGCTTCCACACAGAGGCATGATACAGGCCACTAACCAGGGCTATTTTTTTTTTTTCAAAACCCGCTGGATTTCCCCCATCCAGAGCCCCTCCGCAAAAGTGGCATCCTCTCATTTTCCCTCTTTTTTCTGACATCACTAACTCTTACTTCCCATTCATTCTCATTTCTGTCTTCTGGTCCCTCTTTCTCTTTTCAGTTGTACTTTTAAGCGGCACAGAGGACCTTGTGACCTGGGCCACAGTATCTAGGCAAGGTGTTAAGTGGGACCCAAAAGGCCCCCCTATTCCCTGGAACACCTGGTTTTATAGGTTTCCTATCACTTTTCATATGTTTCATTGGATCAGACATCCCTATAACTATTTCCCCCAAACGTGGCTTTGAGCACCTTTCCGCTCACATTTTTGCATACTGTTTGATGCAGATTTAATTTCAAAGCGGGTCTCAAACACTTCAGTGCAAGCCCAGGAATTGCAAATGTGGTCTCAAAGACACAGGAGTCCAGACCCAGGCAGGAAATAAAGTTCCAAGCGGCTTTGATGTGCTTCCTCTCCCCGCCCCTCCACCCCCACCCCACCCGGTGCAGGTCATTCACCTCTACCCAGGAAGGGACCACCTTGCCTGAACCCTAGCAAATGCAGCACACGTGGGCGCCAAGTGAGAGGTTTAATAATCCGTCCTTTCCCGGTCTCCAGCACAACCATCTCCCCGGCCCTACCAAACTAGTTATTGAGGCTTTAAGCGCAACGTTCCGACTGCCGCAAGGAATGTAGCATATAATAAAGGAGGCGGGAGTGAAGGGACTGGGGTCCACACTCTTGGGAATAAAACGCCTAGGTGGCTCGGAAGAGCTGTTTCTTTTCAAAGCCACTTGGTTCAGAGTGAAATATCAAGGCAGTTCAGGTCAGATCCTGAGTAGCACAAGTTAAAACAAGATCCAGAAAAAAAAAAAAAAATCCATCAATCTTTAGTTGCGTCGCTTCCAGCCTGGGATCACGAGGGGTGGGGTAGGGAAAGACTAGGGTGATGCGGGAAGCCGAGGCAAGGAAACCCGAGCTCCGGACCTCAGCAGTTCCTTACCTCACTCAGCTCGGCTGAGGAGTCGTTTCCATATTTCACCGCAACTCCAGAATTCATGCCTGCACTTTTCAGAGCCGGGCTCGTCCCCAGACCTCGGAGCCTTGGAGACTGGCTTAGGCTGGATAGCCTGGGCTTGCTCCCCGCCGGCACATTTCAGTCTAGACAGCCATTTTCACCCAGGACAGCGGCGAAGAGGATGCAGAAGCTCGGCACGGAAAGTCCCGCAGGAATCTCACCGGCGAACCATTGCTGCTGGAGGCTGGGCAAGAGGGTTACACTCGCAGCAGCTGCAGCGGCCGAGCCGGCGCCGGGACCCGCCCGCGCGCCCACCGCGGAGTCCCGGGGCGATGCCACTCTCCGCGCCGCCTCGACTCTCCTACGGTACCGCGCGGAACCCCATTACCCGGCAAGCGGGCAGCTCGCGCCGGCCCCCGGCAGAGCTCGGGCACCCTCCGGGAGAAGCCCGGGCAGTGGTGCGAGGACGGTCTGTGCCTCCGGTTCCCGGCAGGAAAGAGCTGGAGAGAGCCGGAGCCGAGCGGTACTTCACGCCGAAGTTTCCCCCTTTGAATCGTCTGGAGTTGTAAGTGGTTTCTGATTGAACACAGCTGTCTAGCTGCTGGCTAAGTAAGGGTTGTGCGGCAGAGGCGGGGCCAGAAGGAGAAAAGGGTGGGGGGAGGGCGCGGAGGAGAGAGCAGGCGTCCTTCCAGGTCTCTGCAATAGTAATTACAGGACCCAAGTCCAGAAGGGAGAGAAGAAACAGGAAAAGCCACCTGAGTAATCGCGCAGGAAATTGAAAAAAAAAAGAAGAAGAAGAAGAAAGAAAAGAAAAGAAAGAAAGAGAGAAAGAAAGAAAGAAAGAAAGAAAGAAAGAAAGAAAGAAAGAAGAGGAAAAAACCCTTCCCTCTTAGGAACCGCTTTCCATGATTCAATAAGGTCAGGGCAAACGTGAGCACGGTAAGTCGGCCAGCACTGAGCGGTTTCTCACGGTACATTAAAATTTTACAAGAGTGTGGGGCGGTCATTTCCCTGATTAGTCTAAAGGCAGGCTCCCAATTTACATGACTAGAGCAGAGTGCATTCTCTGACCGTCCATAACCAAGATAAAACATGCCCAGCCCTTGAAAGATTTAAAATACTCGCGCATTCGTGTCTTCTCCAACCTCCCGATTTCCATTAAAAACACATGCCTCCACCCAGCTTGGTGGTGCCGGTCTGTGATCCCAGTGTCTAGTAGGGGCAAGAGAATTAGTAGTTCAAGGCTAACCTGAGCTAAATAGTAAGACCTAGTCATGAATGAATGAATGAATGAATGAATGATCTTTGCTATGTAGCCAGAGCTGGGCTGGTTATTTCTGGAGTTTGAAGGATGAATTAGAAAGGTTTAAAAAGGCTGTGATAGCCAATCAGTCTGAGTTCCTTTAGGGTGAAACTCTCAGTGTAAATGGGGAACAGACTGAGGTCTACCTGGGGTTTTATCAAAATAAAGTTAAAAGGCCACCACCATGCCTGGTTGGTGGCGACCGAAACTTGAAATCATAGCTCTAAAGCAGGAGGATCACATGGTCAAAGCGTGGCTCAGCTTCACAGATGAGTTCAAGGCCAGCCTATGAAACTTAGTGAGAACCTGTTTTAGTAAAAAATAAATTAAAAGGCAGCGTGGGGGCTGGTGCGATAAAGTGAATCTGAGATGATCCGAAAACCTTTAACACAGGGGCTGCATTATCACTTAAGAAACCTCATCTGTCTCTCTTCAGACAATGGGAGGAAAGTATCTCCACCTCTAGGCAGACATTTCCTGAAGCCTTCGATGAAAAAGCCATTGTATTGTTCCAATCCAAAGTCTATTTTTAAAATCTCAAATAGGATGTTTACTTTTGCCTTAAGATGGAGCAGGGGGCCACGTTTGCGTGCGCGTCTTTTTCCCCATCCCTTCCTGTGTGGTTCATCCATTTCCCTTGTTGGCTTGTTTTTGTTTGTTTGTTTTGTTTTTTTGAGACAGGGTTTCTCTGTGTAACAAAGCCCTGAGAGTGGAAGAAGACACTGCCATCCATCAGGTTATGTTAGTGGCTTTATGTGAAAATCAAAACAAAACTGTGTTGTGTACAGAGATGCACTAGGCAGGAATTCTGCAGGAGCCAAGCCAGCCCCACCGTCTTCACCAGATAAGCTGCAATGTGGAAGAAACCAGGTGAGTGAGTGAGAGCGCTCATGAGGCAGAACTCTAGAGACTCCCGGATGCATAGAAGCATGCCAGTCAGCTGCAGCGTGCGGACCTCCTTGGGATCTTTACTTAAACAAACCGTGAAAAGGATAAATGACAAAAAGGTTGACCTTTAGGTCAGTTCTGGTAGCACCCAGCTGTAATCCGATAATGTTGGAGTTTGGCACAGGAAAACCGAATGTCTACTGCCAGCTTCACACGGAGAGGTCTCAAATTAGTAAAAATAAAAATTATGATATTTACACTCAGAAACCCACTTGTAATATACTTAATTGTGTTAAGAAATTATTGGGCCTGCAGTGATGGCTCAGTGGTGAAGAACGCCGGCTGCTCTTCCAGAGGACCCCTGTTCAATTTCCAGCACCTACATGGCAGCTCAAAAACATCTCTAAATTCCAGAGGATCCAATGCCATCTTCTGGCCACCATGGGCACAAGGCACAGAACATGTTACACAGGCATAAGATAGGTAAAACATACATACATATAAAATATTAATAAAAAGATGGTTAATTTCAGATATGCTAATGATCTTGTGGTCACATTTTACAGTGTCCTTTTAGAGATATGTAAGGCTGAAAAATGTCTGTGACTTTTGTCTGATACAGAAGACAGAGAAATGGATGCGTTATCGATGAAACAAGCTGGTAGAACTTAACTAATAACCATTACGGCTGAATGGCAGGTAAATAGTCTCTGTCCTGTTGTACATCTTTGAAAATCTTCCTAATACACATTCATGTCTGCTGCCTCTGCTTTTTGTGCCAAGGACGGGTTCTAGTGACCAAAAGGCAGAACAAGAAGCCAAGAAAAACTGTTGCAGATCAGGGATGCTTTGGGGTTGGGGAAAAATCAATCAAGATGGTAAGAAATGGGTGGATTTAATATGTAGTGTTTAGGTGAAACTAAATGCCAGACTTTAATGAATGATTAGATACCGGTCATGAGATGGGGGGGGGGAGTCATAGATGACTGCCAGCCAAGGAAAAGGACCAGATTTTAAGGAACCAGGGGCTCTGTTTTAGATGTATTAAATTTAAGTTTCTGGTGATGGGGAGGTAGCTCAGTGGTAGTGCATTTGCCTAGCATATGTGAGAGGGTGGGTTCAGCTCTGATAATGACAAAAATTAAGTAAATAAATAAGGAAAACGGAGCTTCTTATTCGGCACATAAAGAGTTAACACAACAGTTAAGCTATCTGAGTCTTGGGTTGAGGGGAGAGTGGGGATTTAGCTATGTCCAGCATGATTAGAGCTGATGCTAAAAGCCATGAGAATGTATGATGTCACCTAGGGAGAAAGTAATGGGTGCAAAGACATAGTCCCGAGACTTGTCACTGAGATGCCGCCTCATTTTCAGGTTAAGCAGAGCAAGGATCCAACAAGAAGATCAAGACAGAAATCCAGAGGGGGACATAGCAGCTGCAGATGGGACCGCCCTGAAGTGGAAAGGAGCCTTGTGGACAAGCGAGCGGCAGCCTGTGGAGGAGGCTGCTGAGAGACCAGGAGATTGATTGTGAAGTGTTGTTTGGTTTGGGAGATTACAGGTGACCTCAGAAGGAGCAGTCTTGTAAAGTGGCATAGTAGAAGGAAGCTCGGAAGAGTGAAAAGGCTGAGAACACTTGGAGGTCACTTGGAGAAGTGTGCTGCCCAAGGCTCCGTGACTTAAAGCTGAGACATAGCTGGAATGCAGTACGTAATTAGGTTGGTCTGTGTTTAAAATGTCTAAGAAAACCAGTATTTGAAAACAATTTCCAGATTAAATCTCCCTCACAGAATAAACAAACAAAAATCTTTCTTTTCCCAACTGCAAACAAACCCAAGCGAAGAAAGCACACTCCTGTGCTCACTGGTGGCATTCGTGGGCCGCCTCACACCCGGCTCACACATTCCAATAACCTAGAGTCATTTTCCAACAACATCTCCGCCATTATCAGTGGGGAATTCCGATTAGAGGCTTGCTCCCTCGTTTTGGGATGTTTTGAAATTTACCCAAGTGTCTGATGAGATCATTTGGAGACTGGATAGTTATCCCCTTCATTATCAATGTCCTGAGAATTTTTCATTTACTCATTTGTACTCCAAATCGCTTTAAAGTGCATCAGATTCTTCTCCATAGAAAACTGATCCGTGGAGAGTGGAGATTTGGAAATCCCAGGGAGATTTTTTTTAAAAGGAGAGCTTTAAGTCATCATAGGAGTACCTGCATATGCCAATGGAAAACAGAAAGATGTATTAAACGGCTGTGTAAAGATAGATCTAGTAAAAATTCGGAGATTATGCTGAAACTAAATGAGTTCCAAAATGCCTGCCACTGTTATTTCTGAAGCCCTTAGGCTAAAACAGAATCATCCATTGCTCCTTTAGCTAGAATGCCATTATAGCAATGGCTGAGAAGGAGCATAGATAGGCAGGCAGGAGCTGGGGTGTAAATGAGTGATAGAGAATTTACCCAGAATGATCAGTGCACTGGTGCACTGTTCTGATCCCTAGAACCATAAAGAGATAAGGACAGAGAAGTAAGCTGTGCACCTTACAAAACTAATGACAAAAGGTGCCTTTAACCTGAACTTGCACCAAGCTGAGATGAAGACGGAGGGTCTGAAGCCAAGGAAGCCACTTTTCCAGGCTTTGAATGTTTAGAACTAGACTGGAGTGGTGGGGGCTTCTTATTGGGATGTCCTGAGACATGAGGAATGGGCCCCCGCCTTCTCCAAGGCATCCGTAATTGGTTTGCACAGCTGTCAAGATCAAACTTGCCATTCTAAACAAATGCTCTGAATTTGGAATTGTCTACCATTATCCTTCCTTGTGCCTTTGTGCTATGTTTTTGTTGTTTCATTGTATTTTAAGTAAATGTCTTTTTATGCAGCTACTGAACAGTTTTGTTATGTCATTTCCATAAAAATCATGTCTATCCAGGCGGTGGTGGCACACACCTTTAATTTCAGCACTCAGAGGCAGAGACAGGTGGATCTCTGTGCGTTCGTGGCCAGCCTGGCCTACAAAACCAGTTCCAGGACGGCCAGAACTGTTACATAGAGAAACCCTGTCTCAAAAAAATAAAAACAAACCATATCTAAATTAAATTTGTTGATTTCTACCAAAATCCAACTTTAAGGAGGGCAAGAGAGCTCATCTGGAAAATGTAGCTATCACCAAGACAAGCTCCTTCCTCAGGTCCACAGAGTCGGGAGAAAGAACTGACTCCTACAAGTTGTCGGCCAACTTCCACATGTGTTTCATGGTACGGACGTGCCCCCTTGCCATATACGCACAAATAAAATAAGGAAATATAATGAAATCTTAAACAAAAAAAACAACTTCAGTTACAGTTTACAAGTTTCCGTAATAGGAATAATATTTTCTGGTCTAATAATTGTAGAAATGTCCAATTCTTCCCCTTCTCGTTTAGCCATTTAGTCCTTCCCTCTTCCTCTGCTTTAAGCAGCCTCTCCCCAGCACTGTTCCTACAATTTAAGGATATTCAGATTTAGGTCTAAATCACTTCATGTACCCTGGCCTAGGGATTTTTTCTTCAACATATATAGCTTTGTATCATGTTATGCTGCAAGTTATATTTTAATCAGTTTTATCAAAATATAACTCATCCATAAAAAGATTACATTTTAACACACGTAATTCAAAGCATAAGCGTAACTCAAAAGTACAGCACTTGCTTAAAAGTGGCCGCCCAGAGTCCTATCCCCAACACTGGAGAAGAAGAAAATACGGGGAGGGAGGGCACACCGAGAAGAGGTGGCATGGCTCTAGAGGTCACCTAGAGGGCCTGGGAGAATGGAGCCAATGGAGGAGGTAGACTAAAGTCTCGGGCGATAGTCTGCTTTATTCAGAGCCTTGGACAACTTATAATCTGAGAGTTAAGAGAGGTCCCATGAATAAAGTTCTCATGAGTTCAAGCTGTGTCCAATCACAAGGACAAGACATACGTGGCAAAAACATGTTTTTCCATAAAGGCATCTAGAGGATAGTTTCAACATGTAATTGAATACCAGCAGCAAGCAATAGGGAGTAATCTGAGGTCAATTCGCTCCTATGCACTACACATGTGTGGGACAAGAACACATTCCAAGAAAAATTCCATGTTTGGGAGAAACTGGGGTCACAAGTTCTTGGAGTGTTTTCACAAGCAGTCAGAGTCTCCTCACATAGCTACATCTGTGGACCATGTTCCCACAAGGAGGGAGATATGGAATGAACATATACAATTGTGTTTATGAATTTTCCCATTTGGGACATGTCATGTAAAGAGCACGATATTTGGTGCCTTATATCAGGCTTCCTCCCCTCGGCATGTTTTAGAGGTTCACCCATGCTGTGTTATATTCACACTCCGTTCCTTTTCCTTGCCATAATATTCTGTGAATGTTACATTTTCTTTATCCACTTACCAGTTCATGCACATTTGAGGAACCTCTACTTGCTGGCAATTCTCACAACGCTTCTGGGAATACAGGTTAGGAAGTTTTCCTGGGGATCTATGTTTTCAGTTCTCTTTGGTGTGTGTGCACCTGGAAGTAGAATTACCTGGCAATGGGACAACTCTGTTTCACATGCTGAGAAACAAACTTTTCCAAAGTGGCTGCCCTTTTTAAAATTCACACCAAATGTAGGTATTTTAATTTCTTTGATATAATTGTCAATTTTTTAAAAAAAAATATAGCCTAATGGTTTTGTTTTACTTTAAAGACTGATAATATTGAACATCATGTGCTTATTGGTCATTTATGTCTTCTCTAGAGAAATCTCTAGACCTTTGTATTCTGTGATACTGGGAATAGAATCCAGGGCCTCATGCATGATTGTGAATTACTTTATCAGTGAACTACATCTCCAGCACAAAATGTTTTTAAATTGAGTTGCTTTTTTTGTCATTCTATTTTAAGAGGCTTGTTTGTTTGTTTTTGTTGTGTTATGAAGACTGGACCTTTATCAGTTACAAACTTTCATTTTTTCCCCCTCTTCCATAGGTTGTCTTTATCCTCACTTCACAGAGATCTTTGAAGTTTAAATATGTTTAAATGTTGATGAAATGTTATGTGGAATATTCCTTTACACTGTATGAATATATTTCTGTGTGATTGGTTTAATAAAGAAGCAGACTGGCTAATAGCTGAACAGAAAACTGGCCAATAGCTGGACAGAAAGAGATTGGGCAGGACAGCCAGACTAGGAGAATGCTTGGATGAAGAAGGGCAGAGTCAGAGGAGTCGCCAGGAAAATGGAGAGGAAGAAAAACATACCAGAGAGGCAATTGCCATGAGCCTTATGGCAGAACGTAGATTAATAGAAATTGGTTAATTTAAGTTATAAGAGCTAGTTAGTAATAAGCCTGAGCTATTGGCTGAGCATTTATAAGTAATATTAAGTCTCCATGTCAATTATTTGGGAACTGGCAGGTAGGAGAGAAAATTTCATCTACAGTATTGTGGAACAATCTTTCTGTACACTGTGAAGAAGTATCACTCAGATTAGCTTAATAAAAGCTGAACAGCCAATAGGCAGGCAGGATTTGGGGAGACAGAGAAGATGCTGGGAAGAGGAAGGGCAGAGTCGCCTGCCAGACATGGAGGAAGCAGGAAAGGTAATAAAGCCAAGAGGCAGAAAGTAAATTAATAGAAATGGTTTAATTTAAGACATAAGAGCTATTCAGGAACAATCCTAAGTTTATGGTCAAGATTTCATAATTAATAAAATGTCTCCATGTGGTTATTTGGGAGCTGGCAAGCAGAAAAAGTTTGACTTCAATGAAGCTCAGCTTACCTAAATGTTCTTATTATCACAAGTATTTTTGCTCATCAACTTGACTGGGTTGAGAGACACCTAGATATTAAAGTGCAGCACAGGCACTATGCCTGTCTGTGAAGGTGTTTCCAGAGAGGGTTAGATCATAAGGGTTCTGACCTAATGTTTAATCCATTGATGGTTTTGAAAGAGGAATAGATATTTGGGGGTGGAGAACTAGAGAAGGTATACCAATTGGGAGGAAAGAAGTCACTGGGTACAACCCTTTGAAAACTATATCTTGCCTCAGTTTCCTTCTTTCTTTTCACTTCTCACTTCTCTCCCTGCTTCCTGTCTACTATGTAGCGATCAGCCTCCTCCTTTTCCCGCACAGACTTATGCTGTTGTAGTCTTTTGCCTTCCCACGGACCCAGAGTCAGCAGAGCCAATGACATGGACTGGGATCTCTAAAACCATGAAGCCGACTGAGCCCTTTCTTCCGTAGCCTTTGCTGCCAGATGCTTTGTCATAGGTAAAAGATAGGTGACTGACATAATAACTTATGCTTTTGTTTAACAGTTAATAAACTATTGCCTAATGCAAGATCACGTTGTCTTATTTTTCCTCTTAATAATAAAACTTATACTTTTAGCCCTTACATTGAGAATAGAATCCATGTTGAATTACATTATGTGTAATGTAAGGGCCCCAATTTAATATGTGTATATGTATGCGCATGCATGTGAGCATGCGCAAACACACACATATACACTCAGTGCTTTGTGCATGGTAGCCTGTACTTTATCATTGAGATTTAGTCTCAGCTCCCAAACTACTACTACTACTACTACTACTACTACTACTACTTCTTCTTCTTCTTCTTCTTCTTCTTCTTCTTCTTCTTCTTCTTCTTCTTCTTCTTCTTCTTCTTCTTCTTCTTCTTCTTCTTCTTCTTCTTCTTCTTCTTCTTCTTCTTCTTCTTCTTCTTCTTCTTCTTCTTCTTCTTCTTTTGATATCCAGTTATTCTAGCACTATTTTTTTTAAAAGATTATCCTTTTCTCACACTAAATTGTTTTGGCACCCCTGTCAAAACCAATTGACCATAAGTGGACTTATTTACAGAAACTCAAATCTATTCCATATGTCTGTATGTCTGTCTTTGTGCCAGTACTTCATGATCTTAATTATTCTGGGGTATTTTTGTTGTTGCTTTCTGTTTTCAAAACAGAAAAAGTGTTATCTGACTTTGTTGGGTTTCAAGGTTGTCTTGGCTCTTCTAAGCCTCTTGTGTTTCAACAGGAATTTTGGAATCAACATACTGGCATCTAAAGAAGCCAGAAGTAGTACACTGAATTGTTATAGCAATTTAGAGACATTGACATCTTAATAAGCCTGCAATCCACATATGGGAACTGTCTTCTCATTCACTTAGCCTGTTGATTTCACGAAACTATTTTCAGTGTATAAATTTTACACTTCTCTCATTAAATTTATTACTAAATATCTTATTCTTTTTGTTGTTTTTTGTTTGCCTTTTTTTGTTTGCCTTTTGAGACAAGGTTTCTCTGAGTAGCTGTGGCTATCCTGGAACTCATTCTGTAGAACACGCTGGCCTCAAGTTCAGAGAGCCACCTGCCTCTGCCTACCAATTATTGAGATTAAAGGTTGGGATTAAAACTGCCTGTTTTTTTCTTTAAAAATTTAATCTAGTGTAAATGGGCTTGATTTAATTTAATTTTTCAGATAATCCATTGCCAGCATTTAAAAATGAACTGATTGTTAGCATATTAATCTTATGCCCTGAAACCTTGTCTGGCTTAACATTTCTTGTGTTGAGTAGACTATGTAGAATTTTCTACATGCGGGAGGATTTATCTTCTGCCTAAAGAGATGTAATTTTACTTCTTTACACATATGTCTTCTATTTCCTTCTCTTATCTACTTGCTTTGGCTAGCAATGCAAATATAATGAAGTGAACATAGGACACTTGCTTACCTTGTCATTAATCTTCATGGAAAACCTTCATTTGTGCTCTTTATTCTCCAATCAGTTTTATCTCTCACTAGTTCATTGTAAAACTTCTACGCAGTCCCATGATTTCCTATTATTCTTACAGCTGCCAAGCTCATTCCCACACCTTTTCCCTTGCTCCGTCTTCTAATTGGAGTTTTAGCCATTTGCTTCTCTTAAGACTTACCTCCTAACTCCTTGGTCCTTATCTAACTTTGGTCCTTATCATCTCTGAATCATCACTGTGAAGGGCCTTATCAGCTCCCTTCACAGGTGTCAATTAAGGCTCCATTAAGTGAAGGAACAAAGCAGAAAGCAGAGCTGGTATGGCTCTGCCAGGATTAGAAAATGGAAAGTATTGTTACCCAGTTGGTATATAGCTACAGTCTCACTTTGACAATGCTCTCCCCTATGAGAGCTAGTGCCAAAAGAGGCTCCAAAGCTACAGAGAAACCCTGTCTCAAAAAACCAAAAACCAAAACAACAAAAAACACCAAAGATAATGGTCTCCCCTGCCCATTTTGCTCAATCCCATCCCTAGAAACCTCCAGATTTTTCTGGAGTTAAACAGCCATAGGACTAACATTTTCTATAACTGAGGTCTGAAGAACCTCAGTTCCTCTATATACAGTTAATCCCATTGTCAAATATTGAGGATATTAGTCCTGACCCCCAAAAAGGCCATTTCTTTCTTTTTTTTTAATCTAAAATTGAATTTAATCAACATTTTAGGTTTGTTTATTGTGCTTTACTTCACATTGATATACAAGATCAAATAAAACCTAGAGGAGAAATTTCATTATTTAAGCATTTATTCTTAAGAT